TGAACGTCCGCTCAATCGCCAACAAGTCCTTTGCATTAAGTGATCTTTTTACTTGCCAAAAATTGGATCTAATGTTTTTTACTGAGACTTGGCAGAGGGAGGAGGAGTTCATTCATCTGAATGAACTCTGCCCAGCTGGCTGCTCTGTTTTTGGGATGCCCCGCCCCTGTCGTCGTGGAGGAGGACTTGCTGTGGTGTACCGGGACAGCTACACCTGCAAAACTATCAAGTGTCAATCATTCTCCTCCTTTGAATCACTGATGATCAAGGTTGGTTCATCCAGTGCATGTTATTGTGTCTTGGTCTATCGCCCCCCTGGCCCAGCAGCTGCCTTTTTAAGTGATTTTAGTGATTTTCTGTCCTCTATAATAAAGTTGGAAAATGTTTTAATACTTGGAGATTTTAATATTCATGTGGAAAACAGCACATCTTGCCCTGCAATTGATCTTTTAACATTGACTGAAACTTTTAACTTTGAGCAGCATGTGTCTGTCCCCACTCATCAGAGGGGACACACTCTAGACCTAGTTTTTTCCCTAGGCCTGGATATTACAAACTTGAGTGTGGAGGATGTCCACATAAGTGATCACAGTTGTGTTCTGTTTGACTGTAATATTACTCCCGAGTCTGTGACCTCAGAAACCAAATCACAGAGACGCATTATTGCTGCAACCACAGCTGACAGTTTTTCAAATATGTTTGATCCTCACTTGTTTATGGATTGTCTTGATGTGGACAGTTTAATTGATTGTTTTAATGGTCACTGCATGTCAATCTTAGATCAGGTGGCCCCTATAAAATCAATGTCGCCAACACAAAAAAAAGCGTTTCCTTGGATAAATGAGAGAATCCAAAATCTAAAGAGATTGTGTCGCAAAACGGAACGTTTGTGGAAAACGACAAATCTTAAAGTTCACAGGTTACATCTCAGGGATCTTATTTCCTCTTTTAATGAAATGATGGAAAAGGCCCGCTCTGACTATTTTCGTCAGCTGATAATTGTGAATAAGAAAACCCCTAAAGTATTGTTTGATACTATAAATTCTATTGTGTGTCCTGCTGCGGCTATTACACCGGTCTCCTGTAAAGCTGACAGCAATAAATTCCTTAGGGTTTTTATTGACAAGATAAAGGTCATAAAAGACCATTTTCCACCACTTTTGTGTGACAGTTCTGTTGCTACTGAGCCTGTACCACACAGTTGGTCTTCCTTTAAGCCTGTTACTGAAACAGAGATTGAAACATTGATCATGAAGATGAAACCATCCTCTTGTTTTTCTGATGTCCTTCCTTGCAGACTTTTGATAAAAGTATATGTAATTGGCCCTTGGGTCACTAAAATGATAAATCTTTCCCTTTCAAGTGGCGTGTTTCCAGTTTCATTTAAACATGCCATAGTAGAGCCATTACTTAAAAGGACAAATCTGGACAAAGCGGACCCAAAAAATTACAGACCTATTTCCAAACTCCCTTTCCTGTCCAAGATCTTAGAGAGGGTGGTCTCAAAACAATTGTCGTGCTACCTGGATCATCATAACATTCATGACACTTTCCAATCTGGTTTCCGAAAACATCACTCCACGGAAACAGCATTTTTGAAAGTATCCAGTGACATAATGATGTCTCCTGACTCTGGAAAATGCTCTGTTCTTGTTCTGCTTGACCTGTCCTCAGCGTTTGATACCGTCGACCACCACATAATGCTAAACAGATTGAGTGGCTTGGTTGGACTGTCAGGGCCAGTTCTAAATTGGTTTTCCTCTTACTTATCTGGTCGGAGTTTTAGTGTTGCAGCAAATCAAATCATGTCTGATTCAGCTAAATTATTCTGTGGTGTTCCGCAGGGCTCTGTTTTGGGTCCGGTTCTATTTCTACTTTATATAATTCCATTGGGAAAGGTCATTCAGGAGTTCGCTGATGTTTCTTATCACCTGTTTGCTGACGATATCCAGTTGTACTGTTCTTTTAAGCCTTCTGAGATGAGAAGGCTGAACTCTTTAGTCAACTGTTTTAAAAATATAAAACTATGGTTAAGTAAAAATTCTCTGCAGCTTAATGCTGATAAAACAGAAACCCTTGTGATTGCTCCTGATGACCTTATCCCAGGGATAAACCAGTATTTGGGAGATCTCAGTCAGTCCGCTGCACAGAGTCTCAGGAACCTTGGTGTGATTTTTGACAAAAACATGTCATTAGATCACCACTCTAAACAGCTTAGCAGAAATTGTTTCTTTCAGTTGAGGAACATCTCTAAACTGAGGAAAATTGTGTCACGTAATGATTTGGAGCTCATTATTCATGCTTTTGTGTCGTCACGTTTAGACTATTGCAACAGTTTATTTTCGTGTCTAAACAAAAAAGAGCTGTCTCGTCTCCAAATGGTTCAAAACTCTGCAGCGAGGATTTTAACTTGCACTAATAGAAGGGCTCATATTACCCCAATTCTTAAAGCCCTCCACTGGCTGCCGGTGTCTTACCGGTTTCAATTTAAAATCTTGGTGCTGACTTTTAGATCCTTATATGGTCAGACGCCTTCTTACATCAGAGATCTGATTCAGCCCTATGTCCCCTCTCGTTCTCTGAGGTCTGCAGATAAAAATCTCTTGATGGTTCCTCGCACTTGTTATCGAACCAGAGAAGACCGATCCTTCCAGGCTGTCGCACCTAGACTCTGGAACGATCTCCCGCTCTCTACGATCACTTGACTCTGTTGATACATTTAAATCCCAACTCAAGACTTTCTTGTTCAGTCGAGCATTTTGAAAGTACGGTTTTATGGGCTGATATGACTGTCTCCACTGTTGTTTGATTGTGTAATTTTTTCTTGTGTTTTTAATTATTGCTCGTTTTTGATGTGAAGCACTTTGTGACCTTCTGTCTGAGAAAGAAGGCTATATAAATAAACTTTGCTTGCTTGCTTTGCCCTCTGAACTTTTCTGTGACTGCCCACTTTAGTGCTAAAAATTCAAATTTCATTGAACTGTAATTTTGCATATTTCTCAGTTTTTCTCAAACCTCTACTAGCAAAAGCAATGGGACGAATTTTACCATAACATTCCTGTGACAATACTGCCCCTCGGCCATGATGACTAGCGTCCACATCCAAGATAAAGGGCTTGTTGAAGTTTGCATATGCCAACACTGGAGCTGTTTGGTTTTGAGAGTTTGAAATGCTACTTCACATACCTCAGTCCAGAGATGTTTTACAGTAATTTTTTTACTGTTCCTGTTCTTCAGAGACAGTTCCGCTGCCAAGTTATTTAGTGGTCCTGCAATTTGTGCGAAGCCAGGGACAAATCGTCGGTAGTAGTAACTGCAGAACCCAAGGAATGATTTCAGTTCTTGGACTGTTTCTGGACGCTTCCATGTTGCCACAGCTGATATTTTAGCAGGATCCGTTGATACCCCCTTCGTTGAAACTACATGTCCAAGATATTTCACTTGATGTAGAACAAAAAACAGCATTTACTTAGTTTGATCTTAAGGTTTTCCTTTTACAGGCGGCTCTGGACCATCTCCAGTCTCTGCAGATGCTGTTCAACAGATGTAGCGAAAATGATTACACCATCCAAGTATAATAAAAAAGACTGAAAGCTTTGATCGCCAAATAATCGTTCCATCAGCCTTTGAAATGTGCTTGGGGCGTTGCACAACCCAAAGGCCATTCTATTAAATTCAAAAAGACCAAAAGGTGTGCAAAAAGCAGATTTAGGTTTAACACTTTCTGCAAATGGCACCTGGTTATATCCACTCGCCAGATCCAAAGTAGAAAACCATTTGGCCCCAGAAAGCATCCAATGATTCCTCCATCCGTGGTAAGGGATAGGCATCTTTTCGTGTTTTGGCATTCATATGTCTGTAGTCGACGCACATTCTGAGTGAGTAACTACACAAACTAAAATAAGCAAAACCTAAATATAAAGTAAACGGCAACCAGCACTGGGCCTATGAAGAAAACCCAGTGCAATTAATAAAATGAGTTATAAAATACAAACAAGATTTATAAAAGCATACCTCAACAAGACAGGACTGTCGTAACCCTTAAAATACATTAAAGGCATTGTTAAAATATACAATCAATACAAATATAAAAACAATCTAAAAACACTTTCAGCTCACCAGAGTTTGATGTGAACAGGCTGGCTCAGGAAGAGGAAGTGAGCCCTGGTTGCCTGTCTTTTAAAGACTTGGTCATTTGACCAGGCCACACCCATGACCACACCTACACCTGCCACACTAACCTGGCTGAATTTTCACTAACCACAGGCGAGCCACTTTTGGCTTGATAGCAAGATTATATATATTTTTTCAAACAACATTTTCATACTGTTATCACTCCCAGTGATTGTTTTTAATATACTTACGGTTAGATCTGAAGGGGATGAATTGCCGCTTGCTCTTCATGTGGTGTGACGTCGAGACGAGGGCGAGGCTGCAAACTCGCTCAGGCTAGAAGAAACTGCCGAATCGACCGAATCGCTTACTGCTGCTTTAACTGGTACCTTTCCTATTGAGTTAGAATTCTGGTTGTGAAAATGTTTATTTTCAAATATAGGTGTTTTCTCCGTGCAAACGATAATGAGGATAGAACGTCCTTTCCTGATCCTGAAGTCTCCATCCCCCACTTCTCAATAGCACGTGTTGAGACTTTTGTGGTTGTTGTGGATGAGGGTCTATATCCTCTTTGGTGTCCCTCTCTGAAGCCTGTCTGATTGCAGAGTTGCCAATTCTTCTTGGCAAAAAGTTCCAGTTTCTGTAAAATCCTGTGCTATCTTGCATGAACTGCAGGTTTGAGACCTACCCAGTCTGTTCAGTGATGTTATTAATGACTTCACACAATCACCAGAGCGGAGTAAGAGAGAAAGTAGTGACATTTCTGGGTTTGTATTATCATGAGAAACGTACCTCCGCTTTCACATGTGATTTCCAGTACCTAACGATGCATGACCTGGTTCTGTGCTGCAGGTGGTGAGCATCACTTTGCACGTCCTGGCCAGGCCATGTCTCTGCCCTGTCCGTACCCATATGAGGACCAGGGGCCCCTCGCCGAGCTGTCAGTGCAGTGGAAAAGCCCCCGCAACAGCCTGCTCTGCCACTTTGTGAAGCACAAGGCCTTCATGAACTGCTCTGCGGGGTACCAGCTATGGTACTGGCCGGCCCACATCATCCTGGCCATCGAGAGGGTCCAGGAGTGGGACTACGGGGCCCACCTGTGCTCCGTCAGCAAGAGGCACCACTTCACCGACACCACCCTGGAGCTACAGCGGGCACCAGGTACTATAGTACCACTACTCTACTCTCAGGGCGGCACAGTGGCTGAGTGGATAGCACTCTCGCCTCTCAGCAAGAAGGTTCTGGGTTCGAATTCCGGTCGGAACAGGGCCTTTCTGAGTGGAGTTTGCATGTTCTCCCCGTGTCTGCGTAGGTTTCCTCCGGGTGCTCTGGTTTCCCCTACCACTAAAAACATGTGCAATAGTTCAGGGTGAATGAGTGTGTGTTTGTGAGTGTGAATGTGGGACAACGGATGCAAATTAGCCCATGGCTACAATCCGGAGTGATGTGTTCATTAACATGTACTGACCCAAACAAATAAATAAATAATAAATAAAATCTCTCCTGATGGGGAGGGTTTCCAATGGCCCTGTTTAACCACCAGGGCCATTGGTGGCCTCTTGGGCCTGGTTTCATCTAGACCGAGCTGGTACCAGAGTTTTTTAACTGACAGTGATTGGCCAAAGTGCTGCTGGAAGCCATTGTGACCTGGATACTGGTTTGTTGTGGAGTACAGCAACAAAGTTCTGGGTTCGAAACCTGATCAGAACAGGATCTTTCTGGGTGGAGTTGACATGTTCTCCCTGTGTCTTGACGTCAAAAATTCCCTTTGACTGACGTGTTCGTGATGATGCAGAAGCACGACAAAAGATTCTCCAAGTTTAACATCTGTATTTAATTTATCTTGACAATCAGATACAGAACATTCAAACAAAAGAGAGCTCCTAAAACTATGCTATGCTGTCCCTCGCTGGCCCTGTGCTGACTGACTGAAAATCTCCTCCCAGCAGTTTCTATCAGAGGGTCCGATGACGTCACAGGTCTGGGACTGGACTCCGGTCTAGTCTCCGGTCTGGACCCTGGTCCCGGTCTTGGTCCTCCATATCAGCCTAAGCAAACAATGGCCCCCACCCGTGCGGCGCCTGTGTTGGACTTAGACAAACGCAGCTGCGCTGGGGGAGTTCAATAGGTCAATATTGCCTCACATGTGTTTTAGTGTCAGGCCTTGTCCGTGGTGCTTCTCTGAATTCCATTAAATCCAGGCTTAGTATTGCACAAAGACATGGTATTCAAACACCTACTGAAAATCATTAGTATACAACATTTTAATTCTACAACAGTCTGTATAGCTTTCCATCCGGTTTCCCCTTCCACAATAAAGGAGGATTTACAATAGGTGAAATCCTCCATAAAAGCTCCTCCAGGGGACAAATTGCCCTACAGGGATAACAAAAAAGTGTTCCTCTGTTCCTTCCCTCTCTGCTCTGGACTGAATAGTATTTTTCTCTTTTGCAGAGTCGATTACACCAGTCTCAGGAAACATGGCAATCTCACCTGGTAACAATCTCCGATCAATGATTTCTGACTAACCAGTGTTTTGAGGCTGATGTTTTCTCTCTGCAGCTCAGTGTTGGAGCGTTCTCTCTGCTTTGGTGGCGGTGCACGTACGGTGAACATAAAGCCATCAGAAACCACGTTTCTCAACATTTCTATAGTATTGCTATACTGTCCTCTCATTGGGCTTCATTTACCAATATCTTCTTAAGAATCTTCTTAAATTTCTTCTTAAGCCACTGAATTGTTTGCAGCGGTTAGATTAATGAATGCCATCTCCTTGTAAATTGAGCGCGCGGGCCAGGTGAGTCATTAGCATAGGTACTTAGCATAGGTAACCGCCCATTAATGCCCATAAAAGGGACTGCAGGGCACACAGAGGAAACAGAAACATGCCTTAAGTAAAAAGTATGGAGTACTGCCAAAATAATTAATCAATCAATAAATAAATGTACTTCGCGGCATCAGGATGGGTCAAATGCAGAGGATTTAATTGCCCTACAGGGATGAAGGGTGCTTTCACACCTGCACCATTTAGTCCACTTAAAACGGACTGGAGTAACAACTTTAGGGCCCAAGCGAACCACTGTACTGGACCAATAAAGTGCACCTTTACCTTTGCCCCTGTTGCGAAAGCTAATTCTGCGGAAAAATATTCCATATATTGATACTGGCTCCAGCTAGCTTATGTTCAAATTGGCCTCTTATGCATTAAGGTTTTTGTGGTGATGTCACTCTAAGATGATTACTCTGGTCACACTTTTGGTTATTTATTTTTATTTAATTTTGTATATATTGCATTGTGTTGTTTTACTATGAGCTCTCTACTCTCAAATGTCCGTCTTTAACGATTGTTGTAAATTGAATTTAATAACATAAAAAAAAAAAACACTGAGCCTGCGCTAGCCTGGTTGTACCATACCAACGTACAAATTACATCACATACTAAGGTCTGGCTTTGCTCCATTGAGCTCCGTTACCAGGAAGGAGGGGTTAACTCCTTTTTGCCACTACCGTCTTATCTTTGCCAGCAATTACATTTGCTAAACATTCCTCTTGCTTTGGCTTCAATTTCTTGATAGAACCAGAATGTATTACTTTACTATGGCATTTTTCGCCAAAGCCAAACTACAACCAGCCAATTCGCTGCAACGGTAACGCTTTATATTAGGGTGTGCTTGTTAAGTATTAATAGGTATTATTAACATGCTTATAATTTGCTTGCACATGCTTATAAACGTATTAATAAGCTGCTCATTTCACTATTCTCTAAATTATGTTCGTTATGTTTTTAAGCACCCACCTCCCACCTCGACACCTTCTCCTCCGACTCCCACTGATGACTGGAGTCGTTGTGTCCTTGGGCAAGACACTTAACCCCACTTTGCCCAAAGCCCCCACTGGAAGATCAAGGCTGTGCTCACACTCAGAGAGCAGCCGTCCTCCTGTGGACTCACCACCTGCAGAGGGTCAGTGAGGGGCTGGTGCTATGAGACTTGGGTGGCATCTCTGATTGCCACCCCCCTGACCCAGAAATGGATTAAAGGGTAGAAAATGGATGGATGGATGTTTTTAAGCATTTAATAAGTAATTAGTAAGATGCTTATTACAGGAGGAATATGTTTATAAATATATAAATAAGCTGCTTATTAAACTTATCGATACCATGTTAATAGGCCACTAACAATATGCCTATAAAGATATTAATAAGCTGCTTATTACACTACTATCTAATCTCAGGTTAATAGGCCACTAACAATATGCTTGTAAATGTGTTAATAAACTGCTTATTACGTTATTTTGCAGTACCCTAATCTAAAGCGTGGACCATATGTGTTAACACAGAAAAAAAACACAACCATGATGTAAGATTTTATTTATTCAAACAGCAACAATTACAGCTTTAAACATGACATTATTTTTTGCTGTCTAACTGAAGAAAAAAAAAAGTAAAATTAAGCTTGTGTCAACAGTTCGTTAGTAACTTCAAGGAGCCATGATGAACACACTGATGCTCGAACCTGCTCTAATATAGAATTTTGCCTTGGCAAACCAGTGAATCAACTGAAATACTTCTTTCAAGCCCCGGTGATCCAAGATGACGCCCTATTCAAATGAATGGCTTGTACTCAGTAGCGTATGGGACTTCACGGAGACCGGGAGATTAGCAGAACTCGCCCATATTTGGGCATCGTCTGGTCCTCCCGGTTCTGCGCAGTGGACGAGCTCCCATGATGCGTTGCGCCAAATACGCATGTGTGGTTCTCATGCACGGGCACAGAGGGGCTCAGCGGCACTCTGACCAATCAGAGCTGCTGATCAGAGTGGTGGTAGAGCGGAGTCAGAGCGGGAAGGAAAGGAGCAGAGTTTGTGGCAGTAGAGTGTGGATTTAAAGAAAACCGAAGCAATAAAGAGAAAAGGTTCAGGATGACAAGGGACACTAAAAACCCCACAAAATCCGACCTTTAAAAAAGCTGTAGGTTCTCTGTCAGCTGAGGCTGAGTACATTTATATTGAGTTCAATGGGACTTTTTTCTGGGTAGCCCATGTGATTTTAGTCTGCTGTATCACGGACGCCCCCTGTGCCCGTGGGTGGGACAGCTATAAGCTAGTAATACCCTATCCAGTTATTATTATAGATCGTTGATTGTGCCACAGGTGCGTTGTATACATGGATCTATTATAATAACTGGGTAAGGTATGTAAGGTGAATTAAAGGACACCCAGTCGACGCTGACCAGCAGACCAGTATACGTAAACATGCCCTCCTGAGATTGACCCATCCTGAGCCACATCTAAGGAACAACCAGGTCAACCAGAGGACATCATCGGTCACTGAGACCATAAGTGTCAACCAGGGCAATATATTGAGCCCCAGAATAAACATCTTTGTACCTTCCTGCCTGGCGAGATCAAAGATCACGACTCTGCTCTCACTCCCGGGACATTCCTTGCCTTTGGACAGTTGGCGAGCCACCAACGGCGTTCTGACGCCCCCCAGTGGACACTGAACACTATCACACCCGGGACGGACATTCTAAACCAGCACTCGTGGAGTCATTATTCCGATAATCTGTACTGTGCCCTACACGTGTGTATCATTGTCAAGTAATGTAAATGCGGTGTGTGCCTGTACATGTGTTATGAATGTCTGTATTAATCCTGCGTTTTGCCATTATAACATGTCTGTTGTGAAGGATGTCCAGGGAGGCGCACAAGGATGACGTCACGGACGCGCCCCTTTGGAAGTCAATAAAAACACGCACAATCCAGAGATACGACCTCTTGGATTCCCCTGAAACTATTGTATCGACCTCTGCGTCCCGCGGGTACGTGTCTTCTACTACGGCCCGCGCCTGTAACCTATTGAGGCCTCTCCACTCCGCGAGTGCAGCCCTGATACTGCTGTCGGAGATCACAAACTGTCCCATCATCAGCCACTTTCCGGCTCTGGACCCTACGCATACACGCTTTCCGGACTGCGTGCGTATGCGTGGATCAAAGTTGGACTGGACCCGCTGGCTTTGTGTCTCCCTCCTGCTCGAACAAAGGAACACGCGGACTTCCCATTCATCTTCAAACTTTTTCTTCATCCCTCTACACTGCTCAAAGTAAGACTGTTCCACGCTAATGTGTGATTCATATGATATGCATAACATCTCTGTTAATGTGACCAAACCCCTTTTTGTTGATATTCTCCTATTTTCGTATGTAGTCAATAAACCCACGTTTAAGTCAAATCATCTTTAAGCGTCCTGTTTTAAATCTTTTGACGTCAATGGCTGATTTCGCACTCACAACCTATTAGATTGTAAGACTGATTCGAGGCAAATTAGTTGGATCTGTGCAGAAGTTTTCAAACTCTGCTGGTGCCCTAAATAAAACTCAGGTCCCACTCGTGTAGTACGGCAAGACTCTGATCTGGAGACTAGCCGCACTACACTACAATTTTCATTACCCTACAGGTATTACAGCTTGGAGCTGAAGGACCATGTGCTCGGGGGATTCTTGCGGTACTGCAGACTAAACCAGACTAAATTCACGTGGGCTACCCAGAAATCTTCCCCATAGAACTCAATGTAAACTAAAACAGCTCACCCTCAGCTGATAGAGAATCTAAAGCTTTCACAAAGGTCAGATTTTGGGGGAAGTTTAGTGTCCCTTGTCATCCTGACCTTTTTTTCCTATTTAATCCTTCAGTTTTCTTTAAATCCACACTTTAGTGCCACAAACTCTGCTCGTTTGGCACACGCTCTAACTCCTGCTACTCTGATCAGCAGTTCTGATTGGTCAGAGCGCAGCCGAGTCCCTCTGTGCACGTGCATGACAACCACACACACGTAGAACCGGGAGGATGCCCAAATATAGGCGAGTTCTGCTAATATGTCAGTGCCCGTGCCGGCACATGTGCCACTTCACAAACCATTCATTTGAGTACGGCGCCATCTTGGATCTCCAGGGCTTGGTTGTATACCACCGTGTTGCAGTCCACCTCCACTTTGGCACATGAGTCAGACGGTGATCTTCCTTTAGCATAGGCCCCGAGAACCTTCTTGTATCGCTGTACCACTTCATCTGGAATGCGTGCTGAAAAATAGATGTGATGACTTACTGTATATGATAAATCATTAACTCTGCATGTGATATTCTATATAATATTGTGGTGAGACCTGACACAAACGTTTTGTCAAGTTCATTATAGCGTGTGTTTTTCTTTTTTTTCACGTAAATGGACAAAGAAAGTAACTTAATCACCTGTCGACCAACAAAAGAATTGCAATTTATTTATATAGTTTAATTTTTTATGTTAAACTAAAATATACTTGTGGAATTTGATAAGAATGATGTGCAAATCTGTTTTTTTTTTTTGACATGTTTGCTTGAAATACATTTTGTAATATTTGATTAATACATCGCCTTTTAAAGCATTTTAAAATGGGAAAGTGATTGTAAAAATAACAAACAATAATAATAACCGCAGTGTTAAACTGTTAAAAATACCTTACCAGAAATGGTACCCTCAAAGTTTTTCTTATTAACTTCAGCGCTCTCTCAACCCACTACCTCTTCGCAGACACAGGCCCATAGACCATAGCATGGACGCCATCTATAGCCAATG